CTACTAGAGTTTTGGTCTTTTGTCCCTCAAACTGAAGCTGCTTGGTTTGCATGAATGGGATCCGGCATTATTTGGATGGAGATCTGGGGAGAGGAGGGGGGGGGGGTTGGTGGAGATAACATCTCTGGATCCAACTGAACAGAAAACCCAGTGAGCACTTGTCCTTGGAGTGAGGTGACAGGTGCAATGACTCAGAGCAGCCTCTTCTCATTCAATTATGCAATGTGAGTCAAGCAGCTTTCAGGGGAAGACATGACTCACAGATAGATTCCAATTCTTTGAAGGAGTTGACAAGCATGTGGCAGAGGGTGATCTAGCTGATATAACGAACCGAGATACCCAAAATTCTTTTAACGAGATTTCTCACCCATGGCTCATGCAGAAAGTGAGCTGTCATTAAGTGGAAGGTCTTTGGTTTGAAAGGGAAGCAGCATGGAGGAAAGGTTTGTTAGGAGAAAGGGCTCTGGAGGTGGGTCCCACTGGGATCTGTGCAAGGATTTGTGCTGTTCAGGGAGGACTGAGAAGGCAAAGCTGGATGATGCCACAACACTAATCAGAGTGGTCAAGATTAAAATGGACTGTGCAGAGGTGCAGGAGGAGCTCATTATTCTCAGTGTCTGGAGGTTAAAAAAGTAGATGCAGTTCATTGTTGATAAGGGCAAGGTAATGAATACAGGGAAAGCAACTCCAGCTGTACACATACAATAATGGGCTCTAAATTACCTATTACCATGTAGGAAGATCTCAGAGTGACTCTGGATAGTCCTTCAAAAGCATCAGCACGAGGTTCTATAGAGGTCAAAGAGGCAACAAGAGCATAATGAGTTATTAGGAAAGGAACAGGTAGTGAAACAAACACGTATTATACTAGGGCAGTAATCTTGGAGGCCTACATCATGTGCTGATTGCAGTTCCCATCCACTTCATCTGAGAAGGAAGGTAGTGTTAGAAAGGAGAGTAGAGTGGGAAGAGCAGAGACATGAAACAGCTTCTTGCAGGAAGGGAGACAGCAGAGCTCGACTCGGAGGCTTGTCAGATGTCACATGAGAGTATGACACAGATTTCTAAAGTCATGAACAGCACAGGCTGTTCTCTTGTCACTGTCGTTCAAACCATGTGAAGGATGGGGAATCCAGTGACTGTGTCAGGCGGCAGACTCAAAGCAAGGAGAGGGAAGTGCTTTTTCATCCAGCAGATAATTAAACTATGGAGCTCACTGACCAGGATGTTGTGGGTATTCATCCTAAGGGATAAATGAATTCAAAAAGCAATTAGATAACTTCCTGGACAAAGATCTCTCTAAAGGCTATTAACCACTGTGATGTAAATACAACTCTGTAAGCACTTGCCCTGCTTCTCATTCTCCTTCCCAAGCACTTGCTACAGACATCAGTCAGAGACAGGAGTCTGAGTCCCATGGGTCTTTGGTCAGATGCATTATGGCCACCTTTACTCACTGCCTCCATGGCTGCTAATGAACATCCCTGTGGAGAGTAAGGCCTTCTTCTTCCCCCATTTTCCAATGAGGAAATGGAGGGACGGAGCAGGTGGAGGCTCTCATCTGGGATCTCAGAGGGATCCCATGAGAGAAGTCCAGGTGCCCTGTGTTACCTGATTTATCTTTGACACCTGCATGATAAAAAATGGCCATAGCATCCTTTCTTCTGCATTCCCTTAAAGATTGTCTGTTCACAGAGAAGCAGCTGAAGAAATTCTCTCTTTGCTACAGCCTTTACTTCCTGCAGCCAGGGCAGCTCTAATGGCAAATCTTCTTATTCACATGCTGATTCTCTCCAATTTACGCAGAGCTTACAGTATGAAAATGAAACCAGCAATGAATCGCAAGGGTTGTGCATCAATCTAATGAGTATCAGATGGGTTGATCTCCCTCCCCCAGAGCTTCTCCCAGCTCAGACAATTTATGTGGCTGAATATGTTTGTTCTGATCAATTACCATTTTGCAGACACAAATACAAATACGAAGGGAAGATTAAGCTCTTGCTCCAAAGCCCACTAAAGTCAGCAGAAAGGCTCTTTATGTTCACAAGAAGACTTTGGCTGTGGTTGAAAGGATAAAACTTTTTATCAGCCTCAGTGAACAAAGTGCCTTGTTAGTCTGTGACAATTTTGACACAACCCAGAATTATTTACCAGCTGCTATATCTTTGTTCTCACCTCTCCTAATGGGAGGATTAACACATTGTTGTGGAAGGCATGTGTTCAGCAGCATCTGATTTGACAGTGTTGCCTTTCACTTAGTTCACCAGTTGATAAGAAACATGCAACAGAAGTGAAGATGCTATTTGCAGTTATTTTGCTGTCCAGAAACTTGCCTGTGGGCCTGAAGAGCAGGAGTAGTTATCTGGCCCGTTGCTGACCAGAACCATTTCACCACCGGGATTCAATACATTCTTCAGTCTTCAGGGTAATTAACCTGAACATTCATTAAATTAGTGCTACTGGAGACATCAAGGAGGTGAGATAATTGTAGCAGCACTCAACATTCCTTTGTGCCATTATCTCCTACACAAGGAGAGAAAATGCGAGGTCAAAATTTGTTGAGAGCTTAAGGTGGATAGAGGGCTATTCAGAAATGCCCAAGAGCTGGGCACTTTTTTCTCTGTCTTCAGCCCAGTAAAAATCAGGCTCCTGATTCAAATGGGGTACTGCTATAATTAAGTAGAAAGGATGATTTATCCCTCTTTTTGATGGACATGTAAGTTAAATAGCTGAAGTTGAGAGAAGTGGCACCTCCTCTTGCACACACGGCACAGACCATCTCAGTCCACATGGAAAGGTGTCTGAATTAGGATTTGGGTTCTAAAGTGTGTGGATTAGAGAAGTGGATTTGCACTGCCTAGTTCTTTCTCTGGGAAGCTTTTAAATCACTCTTCACAGCTGACAGCTCTCCCTTTCCTCACCAACTGGGTGGAGAACAAAGCAAATACAGCTAAGAAGGGAAACGGGAAATCATCTCATTTGAAAGGAAAACTGCATGATCAATAGCTTTGAATAGGGATTCCTGGCTCTGGCTCCTGGTTCTGCCATTGCCTTTTGCAAATCCCATCCCTTCTCTGCCTCTATAAAGTGTGATATTTTCCCCTAGGGATACTCACAAGGTGTCAGGAATTAAGTGGTGTCAAACTGTGTAAGTGCCCTGGGAGAAAGATCCATTGCAAGTGTGGATGCCCTCCAAAACTGGCAGTGTGAGATGGATCCATTCTGCAGATGGTGGAAGCACTGCTGTGCAGATGACAGAGCTCTGGCACAGGGAGCAGAGAGCTGTGGGGTCTCCTCCATGGGGATCTTCCAAAGCCCCTGGCTGTGGTGCTGGGCACCCCGATCTGGGTGACCTAGCTGGTGGCAGGGAGGGACCAGAGGGATCCAGAGGTGCATCCAGCCCCAACCATTTGGTGATTCTGTCATCCTGGGGCTCCGTGTGCAGGGGCTCTGCCAGTACTCACGTCTCTCATACTAAGAGATACCAACATGGTGCACCCCAACGTGTCACTGATGAGAGCTCTCCAGCCACGACTGTGTCACACTCACTCTTCTGTCTTCATTCATCTTCCTGTAGGAGGCTCAAAGTGCCTTCCTTTTGCTACCATATAAGTTTGGCCTGTTCCTACCCTGAGGGAATTAGCAGTAACATTCCCAGTAATTTAATTGCTCACACAGCTTAGAAGATGCTCATTCATTCAAACAGGATGGCGTCACCCAGAGCACTGATAATGCTTGGGTCCAGGGTCACTGTAGGGTCACTGTGAATCACATCAGTTCTTGGCCAAAACAGAGTTGAGAAACACCTTTAGATTCTGACTTTGCAAAGGGCCCAACACCGCCATTTGAGGTACAGAAACATAGCTGTAAGAACAGCACTTCAAAGCAAACAGTGTTGGATGCTGAAGAAACATGTGCTCTGCCTTTATCTTTGCTTTTTTCCTCTCCTGTTCACATGTTGAATTAAAAAAAAAAAAAAAAAAAAAAAAAAAAAAAAGGAAGATAAATGCATGATGAGCCTTGATCATCCATTTGATAAAATGAGCAGGAATTCTGCCACAAACTTTAGTTAGTGCTGATGAGTTGCATGGAATCATGGAGTCGTAGAATCAAGAAGGCTGGAATAGACTTCTAGGGTCACCTAATCCAATCATCAACCCATCACCATGATGCCCACTGAGGGACCACGTCCCTCAGTGCCACACCTACTGTAGGGAACCTGCTTTAGCAGGAGGTTGGACTTGATTTCTTGAGGTCTCTTTCAATTCCCACTGTTCTGTGATTCTGATTTCCATGGTTCTTGGCCACCTCCAGGGACAGTGACTCCACCACCCTTCTGGGCAGCTTGTGCCAATACTTGATCTCACTATTTCTGAGAATAATTTTTTCCAATATCCAACGCAATATTGCCCTATTGCACTGGGCAATACTGCCAATTCTCTATTAATTGATACAGATTAGCTTACTGTAGCTGCTGTGGCAAGGGAGTCCATACATGGGTGTTAGAGATAATTCTCAAACTAGGGAACAAATTTGGAAGGGCAACATTCCCCAGGAAAGTTGGCTGTCTTGGGAAACATGTTTGCATTGAGTTTCTTATTGGCCACACACAAAGTACTGGAGACAGGATAGAAAAAATATTTGAACCCACTGTAGAATGAAACTACTTTATGTAGAGCATGGCTGTACAGTACATAATTGTCAAGAGGAGTGCTGTGTGTGGCTGGGTACATTTTGTGCTGGTTTCTCTTCCCTAATAGGTTGCATTCAGAGGCCATATTCATAGGGTATTCCTCTTATAGGGTGGCTGCAAAGGGCATTTGAGATCTTGTAAATGCCACAAGGAATCTCAGATCTAAGCTGTGATATTTTGAGTCCCTGTTCCCCCAAGTCCTCATGAGTTTGGAATGGAGTTTGATTTTCCCAATCAGCGCCTAAGATGCAGATGTTCTGACAGACCTGAGGTTTGCTTCTGCTCTAATGCCTTTCTTATGCTGTAGGTGGACAGTGGGGGACCCCTGGTTTGCAGTTACTGGAACACCATGAAGTGGTTTCAGGTCGGCGTCATCAGCTGGGGAGACAATTGTGCAGCAAGGCCATATTATCAGTTCTACACTTCTGTCTATAACTACTATGAGTGGATCAAGACTGAGACAGCCATGACGGGGAAACCTTTCTTAATCGAAGGCATAGCTAAACATGTTGTGAGTACCACAGAGGTTCATTCTGAGGCCAAAGCTCAGCTGGTGTTTCTTGAGTCTGCTGTCCTTTTATTTGCTTCTCAAGTGGCAATTGGATTATTCTAGAGCAATTTTTTCAAAACATAATAAAAGTCAGAATGACTGTCTTCTTCTTTTGCTTCAGAACCATAAAGTAGTATCTCAGGTCAGCATGCTCCATCTCACTGAGGTGGATACAGACAGCCAAGTGAGATGCTGCGTTCAGACTAGAGAGTGATATAGGGCTGGAGACTTGAAAGGAGAGAGCAAGGATCCAGATTTTCCAAACTAAGAGGGTTACATCTGGCTCAATCGTTTGCTAACTCAGAAGAAATGTCAAGATGCAGCACCTCAAGGAGAGCTGAAACCTTAAGAAAGATCTTAGCTCACTCGGTTGCAAATTAGTTTAGCTACGAGATAACTCTGGGTTAATATATCCTACAGCTAACTATCTGTTCATAGAATCATAGAATACCTTGAGTTGGAAGGGACCCATAAAGCTCATTGAGTCTGCTCCACTCAGCACCACCCAAAAATCAAACCATGTGGCTGAGAGGGCTAATATGTCTTCTGTCTTCAAGTTGGACCAAACTAAGACTTCCCGATCAGGGTGGTGCGTTGAGCTGCTGGGAAGTGACTACGTGTCAAACTCATCTATATCTCCTTAAGCTAGAAAAAGGACAAGAAAGCCATTGGGCAGTGTTGGAAGCTGTAGCTTCATCTAACTGGTTGGTCCTATTGCTATGGGTCGCAAACGGTACCTTTGTGTTTGTGTTTCTAAAGACACTGGAGAAAGAATCTGGCTGGCTGGAAGGAACTGCTCCTGAGTGTCCAAAAAGTGCTGACTTCAGAAGTCCCTTGTTTTAGTAATAACTCAAAACACATCCCTTACAAATAATAATAATAATAATAATAATAATAATAATAATAATAGTAAAAATCAAAAGGAAATTGCCCTCTTTTTTTCTCTGCTAAAGGCCTGTTACATGCATTTCTGAGATATCTGCTTCCTAGTTTGAACTGGGACTGAGCTGGTTCTTCATGGAATGCTGCCCTACACTCCTCAGGAACCATACGTGTTGCAAAACTCTTTTCACAAGGAGATTGCTCTTCTTAAAAGTGGTGGGGAAGAAGGCAAGCAGCAAGGTCTCCTTCATGTCCCACCTTTGCAACAGCATAAAAGCACCTGTAATTTGCATGAGTGATAAAACTCAGTGACTGTGCAATGGGACAGAACCTCACAAATTGGTTTTAATTACCTTGATATTTTCTGGCTAGCTGATGGAGAAGGCTTGTAAATGAGAATTTATTCATCTACCTTAAGCTAATGCAAACCCATCTTGGCATAAAAGTCAGACTTCATTTTCTGTGTTATCTGAGCAGAAAATAATGCTTAATTATTATTAGTTCTGAGTAATGCCTATGAAAATTGTTGCACATTAATTTCACATGGCTGACTGGCTAATGGATGCATAAGGGTCTTGTAACCCTTTGCAAAAAGACTAATAAAAGCTAAAAACAAGGAGAATATATTACTGTAGCAGCTATTAGTAGTAGACGCTGTCTGCTGGCATTAATACCTATATTTATTTTCCTTTCTATTAATAATATATCAACAGATTCTAGAAGCTATGGCAGAGGCTGGACATTAGGAAACATCTTCTAATGCTGTAATCTATTTGACTACAGAACTGTTTCCCCCAAAGGAAACGAGAGATGTCCTACTGCTTGAATTGTGTTAATGTAGGGGTTGCATGAAGCACTCTTGTCTGCAGCACAAGGCATGAGAAAAGCCTGCTCATACAGGGATCTGCAGAAAGACTCAGTCTTTTCCCCAGCAGCATTTGCAAAGTGATAGCGGTCTGTGTAAATGAGGGCAAGGCTCCTGAGTGATTACAGCTGCTCACTTACTGGGTAGCCTTAGGGAAAGTCAGTATATGCCACGTGCCTCAGTTTCCCTGTCTGTGAATTGAGTTAATGACATCGATTCACTTGGCTTCACTTCAGAAAAGCACATTCTATGGGCAAAGACCAGCTACAGAGCTGCGAAGTCACAAACAGCAGAAGCTTTTCCTCCCTGTTTAAATCATCAGAGAATTCATTCAACTAAATTAATCTTGGCCCTTTACACACGCTGCTCAATAATTAGGGCGAGCAACAAAACGTTTGACTAATATTTCTATGCCATTAGTAGGCCGGATGAAAACTTGTAGAAATGCCTATTTCTCTGCAAGGTGTTTGTGTTTTGAGAGAGCACACCACTTTCATCATGATTTTGATGGGAGTGTGGTGAAGTCACACAAAATCAGAACGCAGTTTGTTGTTGTCATTAACGCTGCAGTGTGACCCAATCATTTTTAAGCCTCATAGTACTTCTGTGCTGTTTCATATACTGTAGAATTCTGCCATTATGGGTTTAGATAATCTCAGTGGAAACTTTCTAAGCACAACTATCTCAGCTTTTATATTTTGGGCTATCGTTTGGGATGTTAATTTCTTATCTTAATTTGTAGCTTGTTTCCTGTTACCCTCTTCCGCACATCTAGATGGGCTAACGGAGAACACAGATCTACAGGCAGAGCAAAAGAAATGTTCCTTGTGAAGAGAGACCTCCTCTCTGTGAAGGAGATAAGAACAAAGGCACCTCCCACAAACGTCAGTGGCAGCAATTTAAAAGCCAATATAACAACAACAACAACAAAAAATAGGCTTAGTTCTGTAGGACTGAAGGCCTCCATATATATTCATGTGTGTTAGGGGGTGTTGAGTGAAAAAGCATCCGTGGATATGGCAAAAGTCATTGGTCAGCTCTTCCATTTGTGACTTCTACTGATAATACAGTATAGTAGATCTGCAAACTTCAGAACACAGAGGAGCAGCATCAGTTCACACACTGACCATAACTTGCTAAGTAGCCTCTGGACAAGGCTTTTTTCAAACCAAAAGCTCAGTTTACCTGTCTGTAAACATGGGAATAATTTAAAAAGCCAGGAATGTCTCTTGAATGCACCATTTGTATATTGATTAATCTCTTTTATTAACTAAACTGAAGATATGGGACAGAAAATACCAGTGAGCAGAACTGATCTTCTTGATATGTTCAACAACTGCAGAAGAAAAAAATGGTGTTAGACTACAAACTTATTTTAAGTATATGTATTGAGGTCTGGAGGACAGCTTGGCTTTAGGATGAATACAGATGAAAGCTGACAGCCCTTGGCTTACTTAATTAAGCCACTGACATCCCCAAATACACTCCAAAAATATAACCTTGCCTTTCACTGCCATGTGTGAATGTTCAAGCATAATGGACCTACGTCCATCCTTTGAATGATGACTGTGCTTTCTCACCCTGATGAAACATATCTTCTGCCTGCCTGGCATTTTTACTCTTTGAGCAATTCATTGCCAGGTAAATCCCCCTGGTTTTGGCTTCCCATGACAGTGCAGTCACACTGCTGACCATTGGTGGCTTGGCTATGCTGTGTTTGAGCTGCCCATGCACCTCAAAGAGCACCACCTTGGCCAAATCTGGGGAGTTCACACTCCTTTGCTGTTCTGCCATTGGTGTGCACAACTCCCCACGTTTATCACAGAATCACAGAACCAACACTGGAAAGACCACAAAGATCACCTGGTCCAAGCACCAACCCATGCCTTACAAAATGAACCAGCCAGCAGCTGGTTTCACTGCGTTCTATACTATCATGCAAAAACCTCTGAGTATTTCTGACTATCTGTGTTGAAAGTATCTGCCTTCCATGTTCTTCTCTTAGAGGTGTTTTGTGTGGTAACGCTTTTTATATTCACAACCAGTTGCTTTCTGAGTGTCTCATCATGACTCATTGCTTCAAGGGCTTTTTAATATGCAATACACTTCGTTCCCACAGCCCAGACCACTAAATGATTTAGTGTGTGACTGCAGTGGAGAGCTCTGCTTTTGACTCTTCTGCTAGGAAAGGTGAGCTTCAAGGCACCACGGGAAAGCAAAAGCTCCTCTTCCTCAAGGCTTATGAATTCATGATACGTATTGACACTGAATCTGAAGACATTAGTCATGAAGTAACCAACTCCAGGCCTAACTCGCCTGCCTCCAAATTAGGGAATGAGGAAGAAAGGATGGTGTGATGGGTTATGCACTGAATGCAGGCACGTGGGTATGAATTCATCTCTGTAGCAACCCTGTGAGATCCTAGAGGATACCCAGAGGGTTGCATGTGAAGAGGTCAAAGTCTTGAAACTTGAGACAATCCATTGTGAGCCATCTGAAATTCCTTTGAAGAACTATCATTTGGAGAAGAGAGATTTGGTGTCGTGATAGAAGAGAATTTGGACTTGTGCTTTGAGTGCATTCTGCCTATAGATGGGGATGCATTTTCTAACCACCGTTGTGAAGTATTGCTTCAACCCAAGTTTCTGAGGCATTCAGGAAGAAGAAAACTGAGAGCTTTCACTGAAAAAGGGTCATCTAAAGCAAAAATTTGGGGAGCAGCCTTGTTCTGAATAGAATCATCAAAAGGTCCAAGCAAAAAATAAGAGCTGAACTGTTTTGACCATGAGCACGAGTTTACAAACAGCTCCTGAAACAGCATGATGGTCTGGTGGTCTGCACATTCCTTTATTTCAAGGCACCCTAATAATTTGCCTTGATTTACAACTTCCTGGCCAGAGTCTCAAGCTAAAAGTGACACTATGCAGAGCAGAGGTCTTTGTTAGGACAGGAGGGGACCCCAAGAGGGATGCAGCAACTTGAAGGCACTGGGGAAGTGGTGAGAAACCCCCCCAGCCATTGGAGTGTCACTGCCCCAGACACGCTCACAACAAGCTCCAAGGAGGTGGAGTGTGAAGCTGAAGGTGGCTGTGTAGGGGAGCATGAAGAATCACAAAGTGTTTATTTGAGGCAGGCACAGTTGCAACAAGAGAGTTATTTTGCACATGAGCAAGCATCTGTTGCTCTGTTTGCACGACTGGTAATGGCAGAATGAAGCTATTCGTGCAGAATGGAGCCTCCCAGCAAATGCATGTTATCACATCCCAGGTGCCTGGGGTGTGCGTTCAGGGTATGCTGCCACTTGCAAGTTTACCCG